TTTTTTCCCCCCCCCCCCCCCCCCGCCTTCATATATAAAGTCCTGGAGCATAACATACATATAGCATTAAAGAAAACTCTTATGTATCTTGCCCCTGGGGACTGGATGGGGGAGAGAAGAGGACACTAACACATTCCAGGTGCTTGTTCTCTTGAAGGATTTAGCATGGAAAAGCACTCATACCTTGGGCGGATGGATGCAATATGGGACCCAGACAAGCACGAAACACAATAGCTTTGCTGCTGAAACAGCAGCTAAACTTTCATGAGTGATTTTATCAGCCAGACTGCTTTATAAACAAAGATGCCTTAAGAAATGGTGGCAGCACGGCTGGATGTTTCCTCCAGGATTTGTTAGACAAGAGAACTTGAAATAATTAAAATGGCTGGATTTCTCTGTCGAATGGGGAGAGGGTGGCAGACACTTTCTCACTCTGCTGGTCTCTCACCTACTCTGAAAACTTCACCAGCTCCCTCCTACAGGACTCCTGCTTGCTGCACGAGGGAGCTGCCAGAAAGCACAAGACCAAGAAGAGGGACGCAGAGGGGGTTCATGGGGGGTCCTAGAAGACGTCACACTGGGTCTAGGAGTATACCAAAGGGATGCATCCTCTGGTATCAGACACTGCTGCAGTGCAGGGTACCTGGGAGGCCAGTGCATCTGTGGGTGCACAGCAAGGGTTGTTTGGATGACTTTCATAATTAAAAATAATTAGGTTGTACATTTAGATGATAATTGAGGACTTGCTGGCTTGATCTGGGCTGTTTTTGCTGTGTGTGTATGGTGCTTGTGAATGCATGAGTTCATAGAGCTCAGGGAGTAGGAAAATGCAGCGCCCTTTTCAGACCAAGGTGTAACCTACATTTTCCCCTTCTAGTATTGCCACAGCTATGATATCTTTTAGATCTACTACCTCTGACCATTAATTGGTAGCTGTGTTCGGGTTCGCCCACACAGAGCACAAAGCCGAGAGGACAAGTGCTTGAGCGTTAAGTAGGAAATGAATGTGTACTTTAAAGCACTGGTTTGCACGGAAATGGTAGTAAACAAAGGAAAGTTCTGTTTGGGGAGTCAAGTTGCTGATGCTCTTCATCACCGGAGACCCTATTTAGCACCTCTGCCGTGGCAGATGTGGCCCGCTCTGTTTTACCGTACTCAGCTTTGAAAGCACTCCGGAGAAGGAAGATGGGGTATGTTTTGCTCTCCTGTATCTAAAGTCTTAGCTTGGGGGTGGCCTGCCTGCTGTTAGGTTGGAGGCTGCAGTGCCCATCTTGGTAGAAAACCTTAATCTCGCATCTATGTCCTCAGGGTATAAGTGAAGCTAAAATGGGAGCACCCAGTAGCATGCTACAGAGAAGAACTAGCTCTAGTCTCTGACGAGGAGAGTGCCCCTTCTTTGTACACACCAATATCTGGGGAGGCAGGCTGGAGACATCACGGACCTTAAAGCCATGCACGTATATATATTCATGCTCTTCTTGAAGCAGCTGGTCCTGGCTGCTCTCAGAAGCCACACACTGGACTATATGGTCACAAATTTGATTCAGCCTGTGGTCCTTCTGTAGCATTGCCAACACTTTGCAGTTCACATCAAACCCCAGATATCTTGTGACATATTTCACAGCTCCAGTGCCTGGAGTCTAGTGATGCCATGAGAATCTCAGCTCCTGTGTCTACAATAGGCATTTTCTAGGCCTTAACAGTAAAAGAGAATATCTTGAACATGTGTTTCTAAAAGGCTAATAGACCAATATAAAGCCCCTATTTTGCCCCCAATCTTGTGATTTTATGTTAAGCCAATTTCATGATTTTTTTTCTGGCGGGGACCTCAGTCACGGGCTTGGAACTGTTGAGGTTGATTGTTTGCTAATGGATCCTCTACAAAGGTATCAGTGACATGAGCCAGGAAGCCCGAAGGTCTCATTCAAAGTTGGCTGAGAGTGCACGCCAGCAATTGGTCGTTTTGAACTACAAATAATATCAGGGGGTCTCTACAATCATTCCCGCAGCACAAGCAACAAATAACCGCAGTGCAAGGCTGATGCATCACTCATGTCCTACAGAAAACCTGGTGGCTTCAGAGGGACTTCGCTGGAGCATGGATCACTGCAGACTTTGTGTCCTTTCTGCACAATTTAGAGTTTAAAAATGACTCATTTGAGCTGCTTGGTGAATGCAAGGGCTTGTCTCAAGGGTTGGGGGGTGATGCTGCAAAACAAGCTAGGGTGTGAATTTAAAAGTGCTATAGCCAGTCCACACTAGGTCCCCATGTGGGTGCTCTTATTTTGCACTGAGTGCCTTTGTGTGGTTTGGGCTTAGTCAAAGTGGATGATGCTAAACCACACAAAGGCACTACTAGACCATGTGTGCACCAGGGGGCTGTGCACAATAGTTTTTGTGCTGAATACCTTTTCTGGACTCTTTTCTGTAGGCAAGGCATGGAGGGAACATTGGGACAGCCGGCTGCCAAGAAAGGGCCCTAACTCATAAGGAATAACAGGCCCCAGTCTGATTTTACTTACAAGGGTGTGAACTGAGGGGAACTCCACGGGGTTAATTATTACACCAGTTTAGCAGGAGAATGGCATCCATTGTTCATGACCGGGCAGCAAAGCCATTTTGGAGAGAGCAAATTGGCACACAACTGCCCAGAGCCCCAAGCTTGGTGGGGAGGGGAGAGAGGCACTAGACTTAGGTCATATCTGCAGAGTAGCTGTGCAAGTTATCCTGCGTGCAGCTGGGAAGGGAGGGCCTGTGCTTTAGTCCCTGCATGGGGCCCCCCGAAGGGACATTGGCTCTGCCAGACAGACATAGTGCCTGAGTGTGGAACAGATAAGCTGCATGCTTGCAAGACTGCAGTGGTGGGGAGCAGGGACCGCACATCTGGCGGTACAAATTCCCGGTATTTCCTGACCTGTTCTGCACCCTTGCACCATCACACTAGTGCTGCACGCCCAGAGAGTCCTGAACTTCTTACGCGGATGCTTTGGAAAGGCTGAGGGTCTTGCCCGACTCCTGAATGTGCTGAATGCAGGCTTCCACGATGCGCTGCCAGGAAGAAATAAAGCTGCTTGAGAGCTCGTTGTTGCTGAATGAGGGAGTCTCTCAGCCAGAGCCCCTAAAAGTTGATGGCAGAAATGTCTCACTTCTCTGGTGTGGGCCTCGTATATGGTTTGGCAGCTGCTGGGCAGAATGGTTGGGTGCTTAGCCATGCCACACTTGGGGCTGGGACGGGTGATGAGGCTCAGGAGGTTGCAAAAGCGGGTGGCGTTTGGGGTTTAGGTGCATGGTAGATGTTGCCTAACACGGACATCTCCTGGCAGCCGGCCGAGTTGGAAAGCTCCCAGACTGGTCGCTGAGCTGGTCACCCTGGCAAACGTGTCTTCTTGCTGGGCTTGCCAACTGTTTGGTCAGGTTCCCTGAGGGGGCTGAATAGGAGTCACCACCTCCTCCTCTGCTTTGGCTGGCTTGTGTCCTGCTCGCCCGGTCCACGTTGGGCAAGCCTTGTGGGCACCCAGGTTACAGCTCTGCCAAGTGCCCTGAGAAGAAGTGCATGCCTGGGCTATGGCAGGAGATGTTTTATATCTATCTGGTGGCAGAAAGGGTGAAGTAACCTGTCTGGTGGCATCTAAATCGCTTACAAAAGTGGATCCTGGCCATGTTGACCCTTTCGGGCAAGTCCTGCGTAGTTTAGCAGAGATGGACCTGTTGGGCTTTTGTATAGCAGTTGCTCTGTCCATTGTAGACACTGGGCCCAGCGTGTAGAGACTATAGAAACATGGACAGAGACAGAAACATGGACTAGCAGAGACAGTCCTCTTCCTGAAAAGCTTTTGATGTAAAGATAGACCAGACCAAGGGACAGTTTATTACAGGTGGAGGGACTGGCTGAGTCACAGTGGACCTAAAAGGGCCAGATTTGTAGAGCAAGCAATGGAAGGAAGCCCACCGGGTGTGCTCATATATCTTTCTTAAACTGTGACATCAGGAGACATGCCTGAGGTCACAAAGAGAGTCTGTGGCATAGGCAGGAACTGACTGCAGGTTTTCAGAGGAATTTCACTACAGGACCCTATATCCTTTCGTCTCCCTTCCCCAAAAATGTCTGGAGCCCCTCGAACAGAGTCGCCATTACATTCTGTGTGCCCTTTTCCCAGGATGGAGAGGGTAGAGTAAGACATTTCACCAGGCTCCAGAAAGTCCCTAGACTGTGTTTGACCCAGAGACCACTCTTTCCATGTCCTTCAACCAGACCAGTGATTCTCAACCAGGGTGCTGTGGCAAGGTTAGCACCATTAGGTGTGCACACACAATCCGCAAGGTGACCCCCAGTGGGAATCCCATTAGTGTTAAAAGCATTCTGACCTGTTGTGGGCTTTGTGAGTTCCTTGCAGCAGAAAAATTGCTCTATTTTATTTTTTTCATAGTAAAAAAAAAATGAGTGAAAACTAAGAGCGGGCCGTTTTTGAGAGGGCGCTTGAGCTGAACAAGGTTGAGAACCACTGAACTCGACAGACAAATGTCATGTGCCGTGTGCGGCATTTTTATCCCCTCCCCGTCCCCCTTCTAAACATTGAATTCACAGCTGCTGGCTCTGCACTGATAAGAGAGTGAGATGACTTCCTTTTTTCTCTCCACCCCCACCCCCTTCCAGAATAAGCTGGGCTGTGTTTTTTGGTAAATAGCCACGGCAGTCACTCCTTCACGCAAAATTTTCCGGGCTCCGCCACCTGGGGCAAACTTTGTCAAGGATGCTGGCAACAGAAGTGCATCTAGCTGGCAGCCAACCCTCCTCTAAACCCTAGACTGAGCCAGCCCCATCTCCTGTATCCTGCGAGCCTTCCTCCTTTCTGAACTGCCCTGTGGCTTCTGTGGACTAACGACTCTCTTCATATTTTACCGGGGTTGACAAGTCTTGACCACTATGGTGAGGTAGGAGGACTGCGTCTAATTTTCTGTTCTTAAATGGAGAAGATAGTTTTGAGTCAGAGCAAAGGAAAAAAGAGTAGAGCATACAAAGTCTGGGTTGGTTAGCTCTTAAAAAACTTCTACCTGCAAGCATGGATCATGTCTTCCTATAGACACGGACAGCACCTAGCTCACTGTGGGCACTGCTGCCCCACAAATAATGATTAATAGTGTCCGTGAGGTGCGTGTTCTTGTCTTTCTGGAGGCAGAAGGCTTCTTCAGTGGAAAGGTTTTGTGCCGACACTATTTTACTAACACGATCAGTGCTGCACATAGCATTAGAGAAGTGGCCCCTGCCCGGAGTCACTTGCTGTGTGTGTGATGTATGGTGCCATAGTTCATATTACTTTGCAGCAATCTTACATTTATTGCTACTTGGCTTCGATCTCCCAGCTGCATCTGCGCGTGTGCATGGTTGTGCGAGTGAGAGAGAACCGCGGCGCGTCTGGGGAGAGCGCACCGGGCAAGATTTGGAGTGCCACAACTGAGCCTGCTAAAAGCAACCGGCTTGTTGCAAAATTCAGCCACGCAGACACAGTCCTTTGCTTCAGAACAAGACATCGAACGTGCTGAGGTTTTTCTCCAGAGCTGCTGGCCTCCCCAGGGGTGTGGGTAGGGACATAACTCGCTTTAAAGCTCTGGACTGGGAAAATAGCCGGAGCCCCTCGTGCAAGCGAGTTACAGTCCATGCCACCCAGCTAATGCTCAAAGGTTTTCTCTCTCATTAACATGTCTTGCCATCCTGTGAAAATCACTTGGCTCTGGCTCCTGGCTTCCCTCCTGGATCCTTGCCTCTGCCGTTGCTTTGTTCTGCTCCATCAGATCATGGAAAAGGGGCAAAACGCATGATTTTCAGCGCTGCGAGGGAACTTGTCACTCAGGCAACAGCTGAGCAGCTTTCATAACTGGCTGGCAATATATTTTTAATGTCCCAACTGTCTGCCAGGTGGGCCCGCAATTTAATTACCACTTTCTTAATGGGAACAAGAACATCTGTAATATACAAGGTAGTAAATCTCCCTAAATTGATGGAGATTAAATGAAGCCTCTTCTATTAGTCTCCAAGGGGCTCTTTGTTGTGTAGTTCCCGCCCAAGCTCGAGGTTAAAATGCAGCCCCATTAGATATACGAGGTTTGCTTTGTGCTGCGTGGGTAATGCTGTACTAGGAGGGAAATGCCAATCAGAATTCAGGCTTTATTCGACCAATAATTCTTGGGGGGGGGGGAAAAATTGCACACAGGAGGAAGCTAGCCGCTAAGTCATTCCCTTGATTTTTTCAAATGGGAGCTGATATGTCCAAAGCCATCTAAGACATGGGTCAGCAACCTATGGGCCATGGAAGAGGGGGGCAGTGAGGAGCATCGCCCCTGCCACCCCACAGCTGGGATGGGGGCATGTGGTGGTAGTCAGGTCCTTGTGCCGGCCTGGTCTTGGGCTCGAGTTGGGTCCTGGCAACTCACCAGCATTGATGATCGCTGGGTTAGGACACTTAGATATGCTCTCATTCATTTTAAATGAAGGCAGGTCTAAATCCTCGGGCTGTGGTGATTCTACTGCTACCGCAGGTGGAGAGGAATACAACAGCATCTCTCATGCTTTGACCAGGCTAAAGCAGATCCTCTTTTCCACTGGGAAAGGACTTGGTGGAGAATCATGCAAAGCTAATGCCCTTTTCCCGTGAGTTGCCTTGTGCTGAGTTTCTTTTCCTGTGTTTGGATGTGATTTTTCTTTGATGGCTCATCTTAACTGCCTCATTGCCTAGTTAAAGCCCGCCGTGGAGGCCAGCAAGAGGTGTCCCTAGCATCATGGCCACCACAACCTCTTCAGTACAGGAGTGTGTATTTTAAGAGCGGGCTTCTGTGCAATCTCGTGCAGGGCAGTAAAACCTTTATTCTCATAGTTTCTGTCTCAGACACAGGCACAACCTGAAAGCAGGTGCAAGACAAGTGCAGAAGTGGGTTCTTTGATGCCTTTTTCTACTTGCAAATATGTCTATAAATAGACATGGGCCTCACCCTCCATTTAGGCACTTATCTGTTTATCTTGTCTATCAGATGAACTGTACCTATGCTATGGTGGTACATTAGATGATACAGCAACATGAGACAGCCAAGTGTTGTAGATGGAGGCACTGAACCACAGTGTCTCGCTCAGCTACATACAGAGTATGGACGTGAGCATGGGACACAGGCGTTTGAGTACCACCTTAACCACTGGGCCAGCCTTCCCCTTGTAACCAGCTTATAATCCCTCCAGCACTCTGGGGACACAGCAGTGGTAAGAGCGCAAAGATACCGTGAGATGCATAAGATGGGATTGAATCTATGCATCAGCACAAAAAAGGGAGGTTTTAAATAGAGGCATGTTTGGAGCAAGCTGCATGGCATTTATAACAGCTTAATAAGGCGGAGTGTCATATATTTTATAGGGGAGATCAAACCCACCCGGAGCTCTTTGGGGTGCATGCCATAAAACCCCGGAAAGATTTGCTTGTGTGGCTGTCGGACACTGGTGCTGCTTCTGGAAACTGCCCGCAGTTGTCTGGATGGCTCATGCCTGTGGGCCAACAGTTGTGTGCACGCAGCATGTGAGGATCTGCATGGCCCTTTCCATAGGGGCAGAGGAAATAGCTCAGGTAGCAGTGAGTGCTCCAGCTGTGCCTCATCCCTCACTCGATATCATTCACCCACCGACTTCAGCACAGCTCCAAGCTCTCCACTGGCCCCTTTTTCAGAGAGAGTTGATAATAGTATGAAAGGCACCCAGCTGAGTCCTCTGTTTCTCTCTGGAAGGAGCAGAACAGGTGGTGCCTCACTGATGTTATTCTGCAGTGACCCAAATGAGACATCCCTAGGGGGAAAAGAATAATCTCGGTCTTCATGGTCTGTTGGCCAGTCCCCTCAGGGAAGACCCCGTGTGCTTACCAATTCACGCCACCTCTTCGTAGTGTCAGCCATGTGGAGGATTGTCCTATGGGAGCTGTGCTCTTGTTTGCTGCTTTTCCTCTTCCCCCTCCACCTGAAAACATACTTTTTGCTTAATTTGAGTCCTGAGGATCCTTCCCCTGTTGCATGGTATCAGACTTGCTACACCTGTGCCAGCTGAAGACTAAGGGCCAGATTCCTGGCTGGTGCAGATGACTTCAGCAGACTGATGCCAACTGCTGCCAACTGAAAAGTTGGCTCTAAATTTCTACCCTCAGATGGCCTTTAAATGAGGAGGAACCACATTGGGGCAAGGCACAGGTGGGATGTTTCAGTCAGGCAGGCTAGCTGGCTGAGCGTGGCTCCCTGACCCCAAGGTTGTAGGACTTCACCAAATTCAAGGTGAACCTCTGGTTTCTTCACACCCACGTGGGCTGCAAATATCCAGCTGCTGTGACCTAGTGTGGCCCAAACCACCAGAGTCCAGGCTTGCATTCAGGCTTTTAGCAGCCACTCCATTGTGCTCGTGAGTGACTCGCTGAGCTGCTGAACCCAGTTTCAGGTGGCAATTTGCTTAATCAAATGTGCCTGTCGGTGGAAACACCAGATCTATTTTTAGTGTTTCAGATGGGGGGTGAAACTTCACCGAGAGCTTTACATGAAGCCACGACTCTTTGCACACCAGGTCTCACATGCCAGGACATGACGGCACTTTCCTCCAGATGCTTGTCTGAATGAACGCATGCTGTTTGAGGACAGGGCAATGGGAAATGTGTGTGACGGTTTACCGAAGTCCCACATTTGAGCTCCTTCTTGGGATCTGAGATGCTTCTGCAATGGTGCTGTTTAGAGAAAATGTGACTTATTTTCCTCCATCCTTTCCCCTATTGTAATGCAGTCACTGGTTTGAATTTGCTCCCCCTACCAGACACATCCATTGTCCTCTGGCAATGGAAAGAAGTCCCAAAGGCAAGTCGGAGGCCTCCCCAGTAGCAGCGGCTGCACTTGGGGAGACGACATCAATAGAAAGGAGAGCAAAAGCTTGCCAAGATGCTGCGCGTGCACCGCCTTACCCCCAAAACGCACCCAGTGGAAGCTGGTGATATCTGAAATCAAGTGATCAAGATTAACACCTCCAGGTGTGTCCACAACCAATTTCCTGTTAACAGATAACAATCATACAGAGTCTGACTCAAAATAGTGTAGTCAAAGCTCACGCTCGGGTGAGCTCCCAGGAGACTGGAGCGACAGCTCGAAAGGAACATTTGCCAGCAAACCCTGTGCCTGCCAGAGTCTCACGCATCCCCTGCGAGGGCTGCTGGTGGGAAGCTAGCGAGAAACGCACCCTGATTTTTCCATTGTGTGTTTGGACATAGTGGGTCTCAGCGTTTCCCTCGTATAGTGACCGTGACAATTGCATTTCTGGTACAAATTGGTTCGACGGTGAGAAGCGCGTGTCAACGCAGGCAGAAGGCGCTACGATGGGAGCCCTTTAGTGTCTCAGAGCAAAGAAGGTGGCCCTTAATATTTTATTTCAAGGACAGGACATAGCTTTGCCTGCTTTCTGAGGACCTGACCGATCTCCTTTTCTCTTCTGTCCTGCCCAGTCTGTCTAGAAGGAAGCAGACCCCCACAGCTTGGCATTTTCAGAGTGGCAGCTGCATGATGCCAAATAGGGCAATGCCAACCAGCTGCTGGGTTGGTCATCATGGTCCACTTCACTGGTAGTTGGCCATGGCAACACACGCACGCTCATATGTCTCTTCATAGCTGCTCTGCCTGTTCCTAACAGGAAGGCTGCAGCTGGCCAGGCATGTGATGTTAACATCACTCCCATTACTTGCCATGTTAGCAGCAGCGCCTGCTTTGCTAGCTATCTCATGGAGTCAGCAATCAAAGCTCTGCGATCCCACTGCGACTGGCCCAGCCCGAGATCCTACTCCTGTCTTAAGTGTCTAGATTGGAGGCTCAATAAACCAGGCTTCAGGGCGTTTGTCTGGAGTAGTGAGGAGGAAGGCTTAGTTCTGGCTAGAGGTGAC